ATTGCTCAGTTAAGACCTGTTTCTTTTAAATAAGCAGCGAACGGAGTCACTAACATGTAAACATGTTCACAGAAGGCTAAGGCTGCAACAGGGAAAGCCTGAGAGATGCCAAAGTGCTTTCTGAGATCAGAAGTGAGTTTACAAACAGGATTGTGGGCTGATTAGAAGAGTCGGGTTCTGCCTGAATATGAGATCTTAGCAACCTGTACTATAGTGAATGAGGTTACATGGTACCAGTTGCCTTTTTCCTGGGATTGGGCCTTATGAAATCTTTGTCTTAAAGAATTATGTGTATTTTTCTCCATTTTCTTCTATTACATGGATCAGCAAAAGGAATAAACCCTGACCTAGCCCACTGTGAAACAGGCAGGTAGCTATAGTCATTGAAAAGTCAATATTATAAACACTTCCTCTGCGTTAGGGGCTTGTTCTGTCTCTGAACTAATTCAGCATCCAAAACTCCATGGCTGGATTGACAATAATGGAACAGGAACAGCACAGAAATGGGGTGGAGTCTCCTTCTCTGGAGACTTTCCAAAGCCCCTGGACTTGTTCCTGTGTGATCTGCTCTAGGGGATCCTGCTCTAGATGATCTCTAGAGGTCCTTTCCAGCCCCTTCCGCTCTGTGACTGTGAATTCGGATCTGTCCGGTGGAGCCCAGCACCAACATCAACAACTCTCTTGATGTTCCAAACGCAGTCAATATCAATAGACTTTGGTGGGAGTAGGAAAGGGGTTTTGTTCCATTTCAGTTTCTACATCATGGATCTCCCTACCCTGAACTGCATGCATAGACCAGTACTCCTATGGCATCATTACATTCCATACCATTAGCACATCTGAGCCAGGTAAACGTGTACAACGTTGTCAGTTTTCTTGACCAGCAAAAGCAAACATCACTGTCCAACACCAAAGTACTGATGCCAACAGACACCATCTGTTTATGATAACGAGCTCTGCTTTCTTATCTGAGACCCATTAACCGTTACAGGAAGAATTCAGACAGCAAGCACATAAAAATAACCCTGCCTATTTTCCTGTTATCGCACTGTTTGACTGTTATCTTAGGAGGAATGTGACTGAACGTGTGTCTCGAGTGTTGAAGAGGTAGAGCAGAAGAGAACTGTGAGATAAAAATGGTGAAGATCACATCAGAGACTTCAGTGGGAGTGATTTCCTGAGACAGAATTTACATATCGCTGTGCTGGCTTTACGCTGCCTGCGCATTCCCCAGATACCTTAAGGGGGAGGTGTGGGGACCAGGTAGGAACAGTGGTGCACACACTGTGGCTTTCCTGCCTTCAGCCGTACACAGCAAATGACTTGCTGTAGGTAGACAGAAACCCCGGGTAAAACAACACACTGCGTGTGATAATTGTGGCGTGCCGAGACCAGCTCTGGAGACAGTGGTGTTCGTAACAGCCGATACCAAGACAACAATGTAATGATGAGGCACCGTGAGCACTAGTGCGCAGGTCTAAACCTGGCACAGGCTTACCAGGGCATTAAGTTCCTAACAGAGATAGTTAGTTAGCAGGGATCAGCAAATGTGGGAAAGCCTGGGAAAAAGCCCAAACAGGTTTCTTTGAAAACATGACGCTGAAAGCTGCTGCTGTGGGCTATGAAATGAGTGGAAAAACAGGTCATGTAGGGATAGTCCAGAAAAATATGTGCAGTAGGGAAGAGGCCATGAAGGAGTCACAGCAACAGAGGTTTTGTCTAAGAGGCAGACTAGGAAAATGCTCTGCGCAGCAAAAGACTGGCAGGGTATGATCACAGTAGCTCCAGTTCGTCAAGGGCTGTAAAAAGATGTTGCAAAACTGCTAACTGCAGAGAGCCTGGGTAGGAGATTCAGCTGTGTGAATGGCTACAGAAAGCCCTCTGGGACGATGTGTGGAAAAGAATCCTCTGAACTAAGACATGACCTAAATATACAGACCTAGAAAGGAGATTCCATGGCAAAATCCTCCCAATTGTTTCTGGTTTTAGGCTTGAATAAGAGGCAGGATGATAGTGCTGTCCTGAGCAATCAAAGGAAGAAATGGAAGGGAATGCTTTAGGGGAAGGATTTAAGAGCTCAGTTTTAGCGGAGCAGAGCTGTCAGCTACACATCGAAAAGGTATCGGAGCTAGAGGTCGGCATTTCAGTCTAAGTGGGAAAGCAGGTAAAGAGAGTGAGATCTCTGAACTGTCAGCATGGAAGCAGCTGCTGAATGTGTATGGATGGTGTCACAGAGAAGGGGAAGAAATGGAAGTGCGGGGAAAACAGTTTCCCCTGAGACCTGGGATGGAGGGAATGAGACAGGAGGACATGCTGGAAAAGCGATTAGAGAAAACTAGGAGATAGTCACAGGAGCGAAGGGAACATGAGATTTCCAGGTATGCGATTAAATGGGTCGAAAGCGGCTGATAGGTCAGAAAGGATGAAGTTGAGAAGCAATCTCAGTAGAAAGCCAGTCTAGGCAGGGACTGTAGAGCTCTGAGATGAAAGAGAGAAGGAATAGGGTGGTGCTTGAAGAAGTTAACAGCTTATATCATGAGAGGGAAGCTAGCCTTCAATAGAGAAAAACAGAGAAAAAAACATTCATAATTAAAGCTGAACTAGCTCTTTTTAGTCCATAGTTTACTCAGAAAAGGCAAGGTGTACGATAAGGTAATAACATGCATTATATCCGTCAATATGATGTAAAATATACAAGCCTTTCTTCAGGTCTGCACATAAATCAGCATATATTGCCCTTTATTTACAAGCTGTTGGTGAAGCACTCACTAGCTGCTTGAAATTTTGTGCTATTTATAAATTCTGTGCTGACAGATTCCTCTGGTGAAGTTTCAGCCGGTTCCGGATTGTACAGAATTTCAGTGCTACAGCTGCTGTTCATTCATCATACACAAGGGCCTGTCCTTAGCAGGAAGGCCTCCAGGGATCTCCTAAAGATGCAGAGCAGCTTTGCCAATTCAAAGCTAGTGTTATTTCCTTTGAGTCAGGATTGAACAAATGCCCTTTAGTGACACTAAGCTCTGGGATCTGGAAACACTATTTTCAGATGGTCTGTGAGGTCAGAGTCCTGAACTCTTGCTTTTCCTTACCCCAGGAAGTCAAGTTGTTTGTAAGAGTTTAGTCCTAGCTGGAATCCCTAATCCAAATACATCCAAACTTTGGCAGTCATGATCACAAATTTCCTACATGTAAGTCTGGATCCTAATCTTGTGGTCAGACCTACCCTTTAAACAGCATGATAAAAATCCACATGCCAAGCATTTCCAGACTTTCTCTTATTTGGAAATCTCAGTGATAGTCCTCACTTCACTGAGTCCCATCCATCGGTCCTTCCGTGGATTTGCTTAATTTGCTGCACTTACCTTTGTTTAGCAGGAGCGAGGTGGTGCTGCAGGGTGAAGGACAGGCTCTCGTGTGCTATCCAGGCGCTGCCTTGCTGCATCGCCCCTCTGGATTCTGGTGGGGAGAATGTAATACGGAGCTCAGCTCCACTAATGCCAAGATAACAACAAGGAACAAACAGCTGCAGGAAAACAGCCTTATCAATAATTTCATTACACTTGATTTTCCCCAAAAGAAAAACAGATAACTAACAATGACCGTTACGTTCCTGTGTATGCTGCACAAGGCCGTGGTTGTGACAAGACTACTGCTGCGCATCATTTAAATCTACAAATGCCGTGTATTTTAGACAAACGCTTCCTGAGAGTTTGTCAGTTTTGATGCGTGCCTTTAACTTTTTGTTAAACATACAAAAAGTAGATTTGGATTTTTGTGTTTTGATATGGTAGTTGTCTTCCCCCAGGGCAGAGAGCGTGCATCGTGGTGGTTTAACCCTGGCAGGCAGCTAAGCACCACACAGCCGCTCGCTCACTGCCCCAGCGAGTGGGGAAGTGAATCCGCAGAGAAGTGACAAGACTTGGGGGCTGAGGTAAAGGCAGCGTGGCAGCAAAGCAACAGCTGTACGCACAAGCAACGCGGAATAAAGAATTCATTCCGCACTTCCCAAGGGCAGGCAGGGGTTCTGCCAGCCCCAGAAAAGCAGGGCTCCATCACACGTAACAGTTACTGCGGAAGATAAATGCCATCACTCCGAACGGCCCCCCCTTCCTTCTTTACCCCCAGTTTTTATTACTGGTGGGGTGGGGTGAGGAGCAGAAAAGGCCTTGACACTCAGTAAGCACTGCTCAGTAACAACCTCACAAACCCAAACATAGCCCCATATTGGCTACTGTGAAGAAAACCAACTCCATCCCAGCCAAAACCAGTACAACCAGTAAACACTTGTAAGGTCAGAAATTGTGTTTGTTTGAGAAAAGCCAGATCAAACTTGGCTCTGGGTTTTGCTAACATTATTCTTACTATCCTCATGTGTTTTTATTGCAAAGACAAATATTTGCAGTTTACTAGTGTCCAAGCAAAACTGGAGAAAAGCTACAGTTACATTTGTTCCCAATCCCTGGTTTTCTGAGTATCTTTACTACCTTGTATTACCATGGTGCCCACCTAGAACGGGTAAAACTGTTCAAGTTGTGCCACCTACACTTTATTAAAATAAAACCCCCAGGTTAGACAGCCCACATAAGATCTACATCACAGTACGCTATGCCAGCTCTTTTATTCCCTGGGATCTTCACAAACTACGAGGCACTAAAATCGCGTCAGTTTTAAAAAGATACTGTTTGCTCTCGGCTTTCACTTGCACTGACATAGATGATCAAGGTGTCAGATGGGGAGGGAATCGGGTCCTGGCTCGAGATCTACGCTCTGACCTCCTCACTGCATCTTCCCGAGTTGCCCTACAAAGGTCGCTGAAGGCCCCAGGTGACATTTTGGGGTTTCTGTCTGCACAAACAATTGCTTCTGAACCTGGATCATTTATATTTAATTACTGACAAATGTGGGTGCACTCAAATCAGTATTTGATTGGGGAAAACCCCAGAAGTTAAAAGTTACTGTGATCTGTGTAGTAACAATCACACACATTTCCCATCCTTCAGGTCTGTAAGAACTCCTGACATTTGAAGCTGTCCTACCAAGTTGCCATGGCAACGAGAAAAAGAAAACGTCAGCTCTGAAAATTGCAGTTTACAGTTACTGTTCTTCACTACTCGGCCTCAGTTGCTCCAGATTCAGTTTAATTTGCAACCTCACTTACTCTGTCCGACTGTACATTGGTGTTTGACAGCCTCTGCCCTGACTGCCGTCTACCAGCCGGTTCCTCTCGCAAGACGCAAGGTTGATGCGCGTTTTCCCTGAATGTTAAAAAGACCACGACGTCGAAGCTGGACCCTGGGGGAGCAGAACACAGATTGACTCCATTTTTTTCTATCTGTTGACTTGTTGCTATTCAACTGTTCAGAAAATATTTTGTCTGTGGGTTAGTATTTGTATATGTATGAGTGTATGTATATATATATATTTATATAGAGAGAAGAGTTATACGACAGGTTTAGCTTTTGTAAGATGTTCACCTGGAGTGCGCAAGGGACGAAGCAGACTAACACAGCCACAGGTGAATTGTAGCTACTCTACCGTGGCTAAACCTGCTGAGTTTGCTGTTTACAGCGTGGCTGGAAGGAGAGAGCCTGTTGCCATCATACCGCAGCCACCCGGCTGGCACAAGCAGGCCCAGGGCTCTGCGGTGCCGCTTCTTGTACCTCAGGTTCAGCAAACAGGGAGTGCAAGTCACCCCGGCTTCTTTCTGGTCTGAACTGCTTTCCTTAGGTCCCAAATGGAATTTACGATCCAGCAGGAGCCTCGCTCCCCGCTGCGGTGGGAGCAGCGCTGGGAGGTTCTGCAAAGCTGATCTGTGAGAACGTGGGAAGCAGCCGGCACTGCACGGGTCAGGGTTTACAGCTACGGGAGTGCTGGGCCTGATTTTAAAGAGGCTGAAGTCAGCTTCCTCTGTGTTCCTGCAGATAGTTACGTGCCGGGGCAGTTTACAAAACACAAGCCCGTGGTTGGTGCTGCAGAGGCATTAAGTAGGTAGATGTCAGCGTAGGAGAAGCTGATTAGAACAGCAGAGGCACAGGGTTCCTCTGCAGCACTGGTCTCTCCCTGCAGCTGCCACTGCACACGTGAGTGCAAGGAGGAACACAGATGCCCTGTTACACAAATATATCACCCCCTGTATAGTTTGAATATATATACATACATACACACGTACACACGGTTTCCAGTTAAGAGTAACAAGAGCATTTCTTTGTGTGTGTAAACCCACCACACCTGTTTGCAGACATGGGAAAAAAGGGTGTTCATTATCTAGGAATATGAATCCTTTTTTATTCTGTGAGCATGTAAGGTTATAAAAAACCCTTCTAACTGTATCAAGATGATCATCTTGTTAATAAATTGTAAATGATCCATCAAAGCTCACACCAAATTTTTATAAAAATAACACGAAAAGTATACTAGTGACAGACTGTGGCTTTTGTTAGAGCTTGCCAGTAACTAGGGTAAGGTAAGTGTCTTAGGATATTTTAATAAACTTGCTTATTTAAGGTTTAAACAAGAAAGCTTCCTTATGCAATAGAACTTTGCAGCTGCATTCTTCGGTTAGCCTTTTTACAGGACTTACGAGTCATACTGTATGTTGTCTTTACTCCAGTGAGATTATGAGCATATCTTCCACACCACGTATATGTTTCAATAGTAAAGCTTTTTGGAAGCATTAAAAAGTCCAAACATACATTTAGTTTTCCATAATGCTACACTAGATATTAAATGTGTGTTGGTGGTTAAAAACTGCTGTACAATAGCTTTTCTCTGATTTCCTGTATCGTACCAAATATGAAACTGGTCTCTCTTTTTTAAATCAAAAGGCGTAATAACAACAGCAACAGAAGAAAAATCAGCTTGTGTTGTGAACTTCCCTAACATAGGTCTCTTGATGAGATACAAGCTGCCCAGCTGCCTTCAGACAGGAACATGCTTTTCCTCTTCCAGCCTAACTCCTGCAGTCCTGACCAAGTCAAACCTCCCACTGACAGTTTCTCCCGCAGCTCTGGGTGTTTCCCAGAGTGGTACCACAGTGGTGCTTTAGGTTAGTGGGAGTTTCTGCTGACACTGAAGTGGGAAGGTGCCTGACCTCAGACATTAACACCAGCATGCTTCTACTTCTCCTTCTCTGCCCATGCCATGAAATAGTCTTGTGCTGCTGCTTTATCATCAAAAAATATTGTCTTTTAAAAAAAATAGTTTTCAGGCAAAATTTCAAAAGGAAAAAAAGGAAATCAACCAATGCATAACACCACTGGGTTTCCAACACGTGTATTTAATGAATGACCCAAAGATAGACTGCACCCTGTGCTTCGATCGACAAAATCTTTAACTCAAATAAAAGCAATTATAACATCCTCCCCCACAAATACTCTTTTCCTACTTGCTTTCTTCCTCTCCCTATCCAGCAAAACCCACCCTCTGACATCAGTGTCATTTCTGTCAAGCACCAGATAAAGCGACCCTTGCCTCGCGTACACCAAAGCTCACGCAGCATTGGTGGCTCCATTCCAGGGGTATCCAAACGAGGAAGAAAAATCTCTTCTGCCTGGAACTACACTAACAATGGGAAGATTCCTGCTACCACTTTGTGCCCGAGGACAAGAGATCTTTCTTCTTGGATAATACTGCAACCTTGTGACCTGCAGAAAGGTCGGTATCGTGGCTGAAACTGAATCAAGATGCATCAAAGCTTCATTCACCGTGATCACTTTATTTCTGCACCTATATTAAAGCCTCCCACAGCCTTCACTGTGTGCCTCTGGGCTTCAGAGCTGGCCGCTGGACTGCGTAAGCACGCAAAGAGAAGATGAAGCTGCCATGCTCATGTCTCTCCCTCGCTCTACCAGAGAGCAAACCCCACTGAGCAAGAGACGGTGGCACTTTCTGTAGCATTACACCAGTGAGGAACCAGATTAGAATGCGAATTTTCCTACCTGAATATGCTTGTCGGCCCGGCTCACAAAATGCTGCCCGTTTCCTGAAACCAAGGAGCAACAATAATTTATTAGTAGAGAAGTTACAAAATTGGTTGTCATTTTTTTATAGTTAATTATGTTTAATCATATTCAGCCAAGCTTGCTGGTTTGGTAACACTTACTTCTACGTAGGCACTTGGGTCACTGCAACGGTTACTCCAGGCTGTCTGGAGTCAGAAAGGCAGCGAACCACTGATCTTCATTTTGTAACATGCACAAAACGTCTCGTCATGAAATCATTTCACCTGAAAAGAGGATCTGCTGTTAAAACACAAAGCAGGGGTAACAGTTGGTGAGAGGAGTTTATTAGCAACACAAAGATGTTGTTTGCAGTGTCCTCGCTATCTGAATCCTTGTCTGTACACCTCACGTGTGCGCTTTTGCAATATGCCTACGTGCATTTATCAGTGTGCATTTGTTCAGTAACTGTAGGTCTGAGGACTAAAACAAGGGGAAACGAGCTGAATTTCCTACTGGGTACCAAGGAAAATTAGGTAGGAGTAGAACACAGGCCAATACACTTCCTGAGCCTTGTTCTCATCACGTTTACACTGGTATAAATCAAAGAGCAACTCCATTACTACAACTGTTTGAGATTCAGTTAATCGTATCGAGATGAAATTTTTCATCTAAACCTCCCCGCACGCTGCTTTTACTGGTCTGCTGCAAAGCGTGAAGCAGCAATATCCGTCACAGGGTCGGTCTTTGGTGACACACAGAGAAACCCACAGCTCAGCTGCCTCCCAAGATGAGTCACTTCCCTCACCGACCACTTCAACGAGTCTCTAAGGTGCCCGGCGTAATTCGGTTCAACCTCTGCCAGGAGCGGCTGTGCCCCGTAGTCAAATAATTCGTCCTGGTCTCCTGCATAGCCACTCCAGTGAGGGATCACTGTAATGTAAACATCATGTGTTAAATTGTGACTTGTTGTCAGTTTGTTGTGCCCTAGCTAAACAGGTTATCCCTCCAAAAGACAGACGTGTTATATTAACAACTTGTACGTCATTGGTCTTGCCTTTGCAAAAACTTCCTGTCTGAAGTACTGATACAGCTGCCCATTTTCTTCAAAATTGCCACTAGTACACTCAGCCACTTGAAACAGCAGAACTCCATACACAAATAATTTTATAGCACTGTTTGTCTAAAGGCTAAGTTTCTTTCTGTGTGGATTTAATAGTGGCTTATTAAAAAAAAAAACCAAACCACAAGATAAATGTTATCCAAGTCACATCAGCTTGAGAACACCAAGTCTAAGGCAAAACTCTGGCCCACCTTCCCTTTATTGTGTCTCTGGAAACGCTCTTGGCTGAGAAATATGCTGCCCAACGCTAACAAAAAGATACCTGAAACGGCAATTCTTTCAGTCAGCCCTGCGATCTATGATCTTCAGAATGAACACACAAAGTACACCAGTAATCATCATTCTAGCTGTTCTGTTTAAAGCAGTTGTAGCAAACTGCTTTCCTGTGTATCACACACACAACCCATTGACTACGCTGTTCTCTTGCCTCACCCCCAGGTACATGGATCTATACCTGTCCAAACGAAGCGGGTGCACTCGTACACACTCGGTGCAAGGTCACGGGTTGCACAGCTGTTATGTGTGTGTATATATGTAGATATATAGAGATATACACATACATATATAAATATATATATAGAAAATATATGCAGATGGAGGGAGACTGATACAACATGGGGACTTGGAATAAGCAGTTCAATTCCACGGACTGCAGAGTAATACATGAGCTAAGGAACAGCATGGGTTATGTATGATTTAAATGATTTAAACAAAAGAAAAAAGGCAAACCCCCCCAATGCTAAAACGCAGGCTTATCCCAACTCTCACGTTGTACGTCTGCTACCTTTAGCTGTCCCCTCTGAACACCATTATATCATTTGAAGGTATGCGTAATTGTTTACAGACTCATTTTTAGTTGTCTAGGCAGGCCACCAGTAGTGGAAAGGGAAGGGTTTATAGCCAGAATTCTGCATTACTGTGCTTTCAGTGGGACAGCTGTATGGGAAAGTTTCATCCTCCCCTCGAACACGACACTCCTCCTCCACACCAGCAATGACTGTGTGATGGCTCGGGGTTGAAATGAATGTAAAGACAGACTCTGTGCGCGTCATACACGCCCTGCCTGGGGCTGCAGAGCAAGAGCAGGTCTGGTGGACTGCGACGGTGAATTCAGTACTAAGGGGCTGTGGTCTTACTGCCAGTTCAGACAGAGCCCTTCTGTAAAACCCTACCTGCCCCGTAACAAACTGTCTCTAAGTTGCCACCAAAACTTTTTTTTTTTAACATCATTTTCTTTCTTTTATTTTTAAAGTTCAAGCAAGGAGGAAAATATTTTGTTTGATTTTAAAGATACTTAATTCAGCTGCTTTTCCAGTTAATCGTTCCTTTGGGCCCTAGTTGCTGAATTGCTTGCTGTTTCTGAGGTGTAAATAAACGTTTTGATTTATGACGTGGTTGCAAAGAAACTTGTAATTTATTTGTGAAATGCTCAAATAAAGGATGTCTGGGCTTTTACCTTTTGTCTGGGTGTAGACCTTCCTGATGCAATCCAGCAGGAACGGAGGACTGCAAAATGACCTTGAGGCTGCCAAAGGGCTGGAAGAGCCCGAGGTAATTGCAAGAGACTCCCACGTTGATCTAAGCAAAAATAGAAAACATGCGGCCGTCATCTCACCCTGCCGTGGTGACAGAGTGAGAATCCAGGGGTTAGAGAGGGAAATAAGGTCTGACCGCAGAAGAAAGCGGCAGCAGATTGTTCAGCATCCGTTCAGGCTTTCTGAAATTCCTGTGAGTTGTTTTTTGTAGATCTTCTAGGAAGTTACCTAAAGTTTCAGAGACACCTAAAGAGAGAATATCCCTGAAAACAGCCTGTTCCTGCAGCTGAGAATAGAGGAAGCTGGGGTGGGGGGGAGGAGGGGCAGCACCTGAAGGAAACATGTGAGTACAAGCCACAGCAGCTTGGCTTTCATGGAGACCCTCCTCCAGCTTCTGCTTACCTTTTATCAGACTTTGAATCTAAAGGGGGCTTTTTCATGTGGTCCCTAATAAGTAGAGGATGAAAGAACATGTGTGAAACTTGTGGTGTAATTGAGCAAAAGGTCATCACATGAAAGCCGCAGCAAAAAAGCATCACCTCCTTTGGTCTCAGTTGAGATCATTGTCCTAAACTAATGCCTTGTACCTTGAAAGGGCTGTTTGAAACAGTACAAAGTTAAATCATAAGCAAGGAAATGTTAACAGAGAGAAAATGCTGAATGGTTTTTAGACACAAGTTTTCTGTTGCCCTTTCAACATCCTTCTGTCTCATCTAACACCACGCCCTGGCTTGCAGTCTGTTGGTACTCGGGAACTTTGCACAGTTCAATCCAGTTACTTTTTTTCTCCAGCAACAGTAAATCAGAACTGCCCCTTCTGGTGCCAGAACCACCTTCTTACCTGCAGCAACAAAGCGAGGGTCATTGCTCCTGCTGCAAAGCTGCTGGGATGCTCTTCCTCAGCCACCACGCCTCTGGCCAGGTCTGCTCAAGCACCTCCCAGTGCTTGGTGACCTGCGCTGCTCCTGCTGTTACAGCAGCCAGGAAGTTGCTCTGTTTCAGTATGCTTCAGTGTATTCCACCTCCTGGGACTCATTTTGCAACTTACCGTTTCCTGCGGGACACTCACGGTATCGCCAGGGGAGATACTCGCATACATTGCCATACACGCATCCAGACCGTGCCTGGAGGAACTTCTTAGCACTAACTGTC